GAGCCGGAGTGGGGGGGCGGCTCGGCTAGGCTGGGGGGGGGGACCAGGAAGCCCAGTAGGAGGGTGGGACAGGGGATGGGGCTAGCAGCAGGGAGGCTAGAAAAGACCTTCCCTAGTCCAGCAAAATCCCTCATCTGGAACCAGTTTTATCCTGAGGTTGCCAGACCAGGGAGGTCCAACCTGTAATTTATTTTAGTGTCCTTGACATGACAGCTAACATTTTCAATAGATATACATGTAATACTGGTAAAGAAGGTGCCAGTTTATGACAAGGTCCCCATGACACACTTGAATATTAACAAACAAATCACTGAAATCAGTCTGGGTCACCTGTGTATTAGCATTGGTAAACTAGATTCAGGTTGAATCTCTCTAGTCTAGAACCCTTGCACCAGTGCCAAAACAGAGAGTTTGCTGAACAATAGGAGGCCAATGGTGTCTAGCAGCATTACCAACATTTCCACTGATTACTGGGCACTTAGAAGACATTTAGGGGTAAATTAGACCTAAATAATAGCACAGAACACTGAAAACCAGGACTGGTGGCTGTAAACAAACTTTATGGGACTATGGGAAACTTGGCTATAACCATGATGAGTGGACATCCAGCTAATCATACCCAACCATGGATATTGCGGGATTGGAGTGTGCTGGTTTAGAGAGGTTCAACCTGTATTAGAGAATTATAAAAATATAAGTAGTGTTTAGACTTTATTGAATTCTTATAAACTGCTGCATCCATTAATCTTACTTATAGCATCATCATCTGTATCTCATACTGCAAGGTAATACAGTAAAACTCCAATTGTCCGCCATCCAGTGGTCCGGCACTCCCGATAGTCCAGCACCAACTGGAACCCGGAAATGCTCCGGCCAGCCTAACAATTGGAGTGGGCTGTGAGCCCCATGGGTGCTCACGGCTGGGAAAGGGAAGGAGAGAAGAGGGGAAGGAGATTATATCCCTGTGACGGGTCTGCCGGGACCCGCACTGCAACTGGCCAGGGGGTGGGCAGGGAACAGCGCAGCGAGGGGCGAACCCTCCGCCGTTTTGCAGGAAGGCGAGGGAAGCCCCGCACCACTGCCAAAAGTTTCCAGGAGGGGAGCGGGCTCCCCACCCCCCAGACTGCAGTACTGTAGTTATCGCCGAGCAGGGGGGTGAGGGGCTGTGGGACCAACCCGGTAGTACCCCAGCTGCTCTGCCCTGCCACCTCCCCAACT